TATATATATATATATATATATATAATATGAAAGCTAGTACTTCCCCGGATGTCATGTGATCTTGGATGCATTGGATACGCGCGGAGCCCTACCCATGGTCGCTGATCGCGAAAGCTCGGTCACCTTTTTCTACAGCTAGCTCAAGTCGCCAGCGAAGCCTTGGTGTGAAACTTTGCCAATTTCGTTCTCCCGTGACCTTACCATAGCAACGCTCGTTTGCAAATGAATTGTAATGTCTTCTCAATTGCGTTGCATAGCGTTTTGATATTAGTCTCGGCTGAATGGTCAACGCTCGGTCTGGTGAAATGCAGGCTGAATGTTGCATTCTTCATATTGAAATTAAACTATTTACTTGCTATGTTCGTACCGTTTTACTTTCTCACCTATTATGGACATACGTAGTAAAGAGAAGGTATTGTAATGCTGCTGCAGAAATCCATTATTGTGGGCCCTGATTAGCGAAAAAGTGGATAAAAATTGTTCTATAGGTAGTGAAATACTTCCCCTAACCGGGAAGTGATCCACGTGGTCAATGTGACTGTCTGCCACGAAGACGGGTCTAGCCTTCTGAAGGCAGGGGAGGAAAGTGGAAAAGTGCCAACCAGTCATCACCCTGGCAGCCCAACTTCATGGAGTACCCAGCGAAAATCCTGCCAATGGTGGTTGGGTACCTCTGGGGCTATGCCAAGTTACTCAGTCAGTGCTCTCAAGACCCTGGGGATCACGTCTTCAGGCGATCTACTATCTTGTTAATCTCAGAAGCTCTATTAAAATCTACACACAATTTGTAAATTACGATGGAGCAATTTATCGTAGCTAGTAGTAAATGAAGGAAAGGAACTTCATTGTTCCGGGGAAAAGTCTAGGGAACCCAGGGGATCCTAAAATGCCTACGAATTACTTAGTTACCATGACTTTAAGTGGGAAGTGTATGCTATTTAATGTAACATATAGAAAATTGTGTAGTTAGAATCCAGGTTTCTTGGGTTCTTGATTTCGAAAAATTTATGGCAAAACTGTCTTTGTCCGCGTGGACAACGCTACAGCCTAAACCAGTGCTTGCCAACTCAATGCTCTGAGACGTCACAAAAATCTGCCCTCCTGCTCGGAGCCAAGCCGCGAAGCAAAGGAAGTGTCGCGCGGCGGCGGGCTTACAGTGTTCCAGTGATGGTACGGAAGTGGGGGAAACGTTCGTTCGATGATTACGTTTTTAAATCGTAATTAATACTTATGTGTTTGAGTCAGTAAAAATATTTTTTAAAAATAGAACATAGATTGTTACATAACTCAAAGCAATATACGACTCTGTTTATCGAGACCAGTGCCTCTAATTCCTCGTCCATTCGTCAAATACATAACATTTTTTTGGAGAAGGGTTTTAACATTCTAGTACAATAATATTTTATACCATGTTATATAATATAACAATTTGAGTACGTCCCAAACCAATAGTTAATGTTAACAAACAGGGTCAAATAGGTACCCGGGAGGGGTCACGTGGGAGACTTATAGATTGATTATTTCATATATATATATATATATATATATATATATATATATATATATTTGGAGAATGTTGCAAATATATCTGAAAAATCATTTATTTATCTCATGATTGCAGACTATCTGTCAATTTTCAGACATTATTTTCATTTCGCGAGTTTGTCTGGGTTGTAAAGCTGCGTAATGGCCCGTACGTTGAAGTTTTTAACATACTGCGGTTCTTTCGAACACACTAAATACTTCACCATTGATATGGAATCTACAAAAAGAAACATTTTATCCCAAATAGAAAGAAAATTAAATGGGCATTATGTTCCCTGAAACACGGTTAATGGCCCACTGCAAAGGCTGTCGAGTGTTTCTCGTGGAGGGGAACGCTGCTCTGACGTCATTTCTCCACCAGTAAACACTGGCATAAACAGTTTAGACGATGTGCTCCAAAATTTATATTTTTCGATCTATCTTAACAAATCAATGTCCTGCGAGTTTGAAATGGGTACCCTGAATTTTGAGTGTACATGAAGTTATCATGTAGCCTCAACATTTTCTCGAAAATTGCTCCACATTTTTTTTAAACAAACTTAGTCATCGAAATTTTGTCCTTTGAATTTTTTTTGAACATGATTCAGTAAAAATTAACATTTAATTTGTTTCTTGTGAATGTAAATGAACCTGAAACAATGAAATGGCATCTTTGAACTTTGGTTGTAGTACAGCCAATACATATCTCTAATAAATCTTGAATTGAAAAGTTGCTCATTGTGTAATTAATCACTGTCATTTTGATCACTACTGTTTTGAGAAATTTGCTTTTAATTCACTTCTGTTATTTGAAGATTCCTTTTTTTGTAAATTCTTATAATTTTGCTGTTAATAATACTGTTATTAAATCATAAACATGTTATTTTATATTTAAAAAGGTTGCATGCAGCACAATGCAATGTTTAGTTTGTTATTCTCTTTAGCTATGATTTTACTTAGTGATTTTAATGTCATTGTGATGTTTATATTTTGTAAATAAGTATTATTTTACTTACTCTGAGAAAAAGTTTGCGTGTGTGGGGGTGGGTGCATGGGTGCATGCATGTGAAGATGGGTAAGAATATGTACATGAGTAGAAATTGTATTTAATGAGTGAGTTTTAAATTTCACTATTAGTTTATTAAAATTGTGAAAATTCACCATGTTTGAAAATTATTTTACCATGTTTATTTTTTGTTTCTTTGTCCCACAGAAGAGCAAGAAAGATGCTGTGAATTTCGACCAAGAATTTACAAAGGAAGAGCCTGTGCTGACTCCAGTTAATTCTGATGTGGTGCGGGCCATCAACCAAGATGAATTCAAGGGGTTTTCGTTTATCAACCCGGATTTCAACCCGGGCAGATATCAAGGGGAAAAGGCTGCGGCCTAGGGTGCCCAGGCATCAGTTATTAATTTTCATGTTCCAATGGCAACATGTTCTTTTCTACTCCTATGTTTCCCTTTCTGTTGCCAGAGTAACATACAGGCTGTCTGTCGAAGTTATCATGTCTACATGAGATTGCTTACTTTCTGTCTTCACAGCAACAGCATAGCTGCCTAATGTTGTTGCTATGGGGACTGAGTAGTAATCTCATGGCTGAAACATTTTGAGTCAGCATATAGTATTTTTAACATGGTAACAAGAAGGCAGCCTGCCCATAGAGTAGATCTAACTCTAGCGATTTATAGAGTACGTAGTCTCTAAATCTTACTGTCCAGCTGACCAGCCCTTGTCTTTTAACCCTCAATGTCCTAATGGTAGCATTGTTTGTGTCAGGTCTAGTACAGTTGTTGTCTGCATTTTTATATACACATAATACTATTCTATAGATAGAAAGTATTTTGCATGTAGCCAGATGAGCTTTTATGGTAAGTACATGCATTGAATTATTAACTCTGTTGTTACAAATGAATGACATTTCTGTTGATGCACCAGGACCCCACAGACGGCTAGTCCGTGTGTGTAGTCTGTGAATCTCGTACTTAATCTGGGCATGAGCATTGTTGCACATGCCTGTGTATACATAAATATACATACTGTACATTATATATAAATATATATAAATATAATTATTTGGTGCTCAAAAGTGAGATGACAGTCAAGTTGTTTTGAGCACAATCATGTAACAAGATGTGATTTCTCTTGAATCTTATATTATGTATTCAGCACGGTTCTACGCTTCCATTTGTCTGGAGAGGCCTACATTCGCTCTAACAAGCATTGTGTGTTAGGTCTGGAGAGATTTACGGGTGGTTGTTGTTGTCATTCTTGTTGTTTGTTGTGGTTGATATATGACCTGCACGCATATAGCTGTGTATTCAGAATACCATAGTTGAGGCATAATACATGTTTAAAAATCTTGCTATACATACATATTGAAAATAATTATGTATGTATATCTATAGTACACACACATATTCATATATACATATATAAATATATATATACATACATATACATTATTATAAATGTGTAAAGAAATCATTTGTACTAAATGTGTGCGTACATAACTTTTAAAGGGATGTGTCATTACATTTTTAATCATTGATAGGTAAATAGTGAAATGTTTATATAATAAAATAATTACAGATATAATACATGATAGCAGTCAGTTCATGCACACTTTTACTGATAATGTCTTGTCTAGAGAGAGACAGGAACTTACCACGAGAGACACACACTGGCGGAACATAAATTAAATGTGTTACTAGTTGTAACAGATCAAGACTACTAGGCAATTGCCAAGGATGTATGTCTTGCTTCTATTAGCCCAGTAGGGAATGACCCTTGGGCTTTGTAACAGAAACTCATCTAGTCACCAGCACAGAAACCAAACCATATCAAGACAAACTAGATTCCCCCTACTTGGTGTGGGGAGTTAATCATCCTGTTGTTGCCGCTACAACGGATGCATATACCAATTTACCTGATTTGACATATAAAAACTTTAATAGAAAGTTTTTGGCCTACACTTGAATACAAGGAAAGTCTATGCTAAACTTGTGTACATGTTTCAAATCACTGTACTTGTGAGACTTCTGGACATGTAACACTATGTGAATGGGTTATAAAACTAAGAAATTAGATTATCAGGCATTACTCGTGACTAGCTGCTAAAGCCATTGAGGCTGTACCAGCTATTACTAGGAAAATACTTGTCATAAATATCCAATGACTTGTTAGCTTTAAAACACTATGTTACTTGTACTATACATATTATATATACTATATATATTATGTGGATGTCATGTATTAGAATTGCACAAAGTTTTGAGATGTTAAGATTAGAAAAGTAACCAGGATTTGAAGATTGCAAAATATTTTGCAGTACCTCCAATCATTGGTGACTTCAGTAGGCCCCAATTTCTTCAGAAATTCTTGTGGAAAGTAGTACTATCCTTCACATTGAGTGAGATTGGAGCAACGTGGAGTCGCCAAAATCTGTAATGCCCTTTTTTTAAAACATGTGAAAAGATGATGAGCAGTTTGTGAAGGAAAAAGTTGTCACATTGTTCTTGTTTTTAAAGTAGTTAACCTATTGATACCTCCGTGTGGTAGCGTAGTGCTATGCTTGTAGTGCATGGGATCTTAAAGATTCCTGTAGTGTAGGCCTATGGGCCTGCCTCCCGCACCAAGGCTTATAAAACTAGCCGTCCTTTCAATCTACTGTAACTGTCAGTGTTGAAGTAAAAAATAAACTCTGTGTTGTTCGTTATCAGGTTACAAAAACTAGTCGTCAATATTGTTGTCATCGCACAATGAGATCTGAAAATGATTGATTTCAAGCTGTTATGTTTATATTCAACCAGTGAAATTAATCTTGCTGCTGTTGAATTCTCTTGTCTTTCAAGTAATGTCTAGTGAAGCATATTACATCTTAGATGCTGTGCTTCTTGGCAAGAGAAAGTCTAGTGAGGTGTGTGGATATGATTTATTGATTGATCCAAGCTGCCTTCTGTGTTGGCTTGTGTATGTCCCTGTCTTGCTTCACCCTAGTCTGAATATATCTGCTTCTAAAAAGTAATAACTTTTTTATTGTGAAAAAATGTTTTTATAGTCAAAGCAAACAGTACAATAATCATAATATTTATTTTTTACACATATTTTAGTTTAGCTTTACTTTAAGATAAAAGGTACTTTCATTTATTACCTGAATACAGAAGTTATTTTAACATAGTCAGAACTTGCTTATTGAGTCTTGAATGACTCTGTGCCTATCTCTTTCTATCTGACTTTTGTTCTCGATGTTAAAAACCCATTTCTGTCTCTGTGAGTGTTGTGTAGTATGAAGCTTGTGCACCCCTGTCTAGTAGATGTCACTTTGTCACAAATAGAAGCAGAAATACCATAAATGTGGACATCAAACTTAAAAGAGATCAGCCTTTAAAATCCCTATTTGTTGTTTTTAAAGAGGAAATTATGTAGAAAGTTAAAATGGCTAATGTGTTTGAAGTGTTGTTGAGAGGATTTTCCTTTAAATAATGGGAACTTAGGTTTGTATTGATGTTGTACTTAAGGGAAAGAAAACAGCACTTGTACAAATACCTGAGGACCTGCCAAGTGCAATATTTGTTATGGGATCCCTAGAGGAGAGTTGGAGAGAAATTATAGTTTATTGTATACTTATTATAATTTATAAGGAGATATGTACTTCATTATAATTTATTAGGATCTGAACATTTGTGTTAATTGTGTAATGCACAGTATTTCACCAAAGATGACAACACAAAAAAGAAACTTTATAGTATTGAATTAAACCCTTAGAGATCTTGTTTGTCTGCTGTTCGGATGGATCTGGCCTACACCCTGTGCCTTATTGCAGGCTGGTTACCTGGAGGGAACTCTAGGGAAACATAGGTGCAGGGTGGGAAGTCAGTCACCGGTAGTGCAGTCTGGAGGTAAACAGCCTCTTGACACCCTCAGATGCTCGGTGCGGAGAAGAGAGATATCTTACCTGGTGTAGCTGGCTATATTATACCCAGATGAGATATCTCTAAGGATATCTTGCACCCATGTATCTATGAAATTTTAACAAACATGATGTCTACTTGCCTGCTTTTGTTGTCCATGAGAAACAGACACTATGTGTAATGCTAGTGTTTAACGTGTGATTTGTATTTATTTTGATTATATTGTCACTTTGAGGACATTGCTATCAAATTTATCTTCCATTATGAATACATTTCTTGTATTTATTTCCATTTATTATTTATTTCATGATTCATTTGTGTAGTCTATTAAAATACAGAGTGTGCCAAAATAAACTTACCAATTGATATTTTTATCAATTTATAAGCATGATGTTGCAATGTCCTCAGTAATAGAATGTGATTGTCTCCTGAAGTTGTGTCTGTATTCTAATTTTATTTCTCTGATTGTGTAATAAATTCTGTGAAATAATAGCTTATGCCATGCGTAATTATTTCACCGATGTTTACCACATCACTTTCAAATTAAATAAAAATCCTTGGTAAATAAAAGAGAAGAAACATTAGAACATAAGTTCTAATAAAATGAATTCCCTTTTGTTTAAATCGTGGGTGGTTAAATGCTAGATATTTGCGGGGTGCGAAAATAGTGAGCGATCGCTCCCGGCGAAGCGGCGCCGAAACGCATTGTAGCAATTCGCCGCTAGATGGCAGAGCGGGCTCAGCGTCAAAGTGGGAGCTCTGGTGCGAGCGGCAGTGCGCCGCGGCCGGCCAGCGAAGGTGGAGGTGTCGGTCTCGGTCGGGAGATGTGCGCCTGCGGCGTGTCGTGGTGTTTATGATTGTAAGCGCGCTGAGATTGAATGGGGGTGTGGTGTGTGCGTAGGTGTCACGTGTGAAGAAGGATAACAGAAACTTCTCTGCAATGGTGGGCCAAGGATTTGCTTCCGAGGGTGAGTGAAATATAATCTGTTTGCTGTTTTAACCCCATATAAAATTATGCGCGCCGACTTGCAATTTCATGTTAACAGAATTAAAATGAGAATTTCGATTATGTACCGTACGTTTTTTTTTGTCTATTGATAATTTTTTTTACCCGGGCGAACGTCGTGAGACCCCATGTGCCCCGGGGCGCTTAGGCCTAATGAACTGTAACACTCCCTTTAAATCAAGTGCCTCATTTTAGTACAACTTCTTGAAAGCGAGGATTTCAGCCCCAGAGATACCCTTTCGTAGGGATTCGCATGCGTCCCCTTCCCGGGTCATCCACGGGTGCTTCGCGGCAGTAATCGATGTCGGGCGCCGCGCCCAGCACGGCCGGCGCCGCCGCACGCGCGATTGTTGCGGACTGCAGGGAGGGCGTCGGCGGGACGGGCAACCTGTCTTCTCGCCCGTTCATGCTGGGCGAAAGGCGACGGATAGGGTGTCGACGCGTTTAAAAGAAGCGGGATAGCCGTGCTCTCAGACGTGGTTTCGTGGGGGCAGACCACCTGACCGGCAGATGGCGCTCGGCCGCCGTGCAGCACGCGCGTGGAAGCTTGACAGCTCTTCCCCCTTCTCTCGGGCCCGCAGCAGCCAGACCCTGCGGCAGCTGTCGG